TCAATCAGGAAACAGTTCCACTGACAAAATTGATTAGATTGCTCTCCACAACAGGAACTATGAGGTATGAACTATGGTGAGTGGATAAGTTAGGCCAAAAGCACATTTTTTTTTAGCATATTAGATGACTATTTACCAAATTAGAAATACTAATTCAAGCCATTTTATTATTATTATATTCATTATTTACTTGTATTACTTATATTTACCTACTTATAGCTTAAAGCATCCGCTAAAAATAGTCCATTACAACATTACAACAAAAAAGTGGGACAGATAACACAACAATATTAATATATATTGTTGAGGTTTTATGTTCACCATATACACTACTATTCAAATTTGACAGTAAAGACATTTTACATTACAAAAAGATCTCAAATAAATGCTGTTCTTTTGAACTGTTCTTTTTCTAATCCATTACAGTTTCCAAAAAATATATTAAACAACTGTTTGCAAAATTGATAATAATAAGAAATATTTCTTAAGCAGCAATTCAGCATAAATAAAATTATTTCTGAAGGAACATGTGACACTGAAGACTGAAATAAGATCCTAAGAATAAATTACACTTTAAAATATATAAAACAGAACATTTAAATTCTACATTTTAAATTCTAATTCGGTTTCACAATATTTGTATATTTTTAACAAATAAATGCAGCTTTGGTGAGAATAGGAGACTTTTTTTAGAAATATTAAAAACCTTTGCACTGTAGTTTATACTGAAATATTACCCTTTTAAAGTGCAATTTTTTTACCCACAGCAAAGAGTCACAAAATTGCTCCAGTTACCTATAGTCTTAATTTGCATTAGTATGCACAGAGAAAGGTCACAGACTAATATGAGAAATGAACCTAGAACTAATATATTGTCAAAACAACCACTAAATGTATAGTTTAGAAGTCATCATAACAAAACATTGACTGGTAAATGCCATTTTGACCAATTACAATCAAGTATTTGTGTAATAAAAGGACAGAATACACGGGTGATGTTCTAATGACTTGCTGTTAGGTTTCTCTGTACTTGATTATGTGACGAAAAGCAACAAAAATAGAAGAAGTCATTATCTTTTCTGTTGTGATATGGGGCGACAGCGTAAAATATATGGGTTGGAACAGAGACTATCACAGTGTGAAGAACAAAAGAGAGAACACTCACTCTGTCACTGTCTTTGAGGATTTCTCCCGTTTGAAGGCCAGCTGATACTTGAGGCTTTCTACCTCCTTCTTCATCTGGGGCAAGTCCATCTCATCCATGACTGCGGCTTGATGTGGAAGTGATCAAACTAAACCTAAACAAGAAAGAAGATTGTTTTTGCACATTGTGTCGAATTGTGCTGACTCAAAATGTAAATGTAACATACAAAAACATACATTTTATTTAGATTTATCTTGAACAGCTGATTTTGCATCAATCAATGAGGATTGCAATTAATAATCTTGTTAAATCAGCACCTCACACTGTTTGTATGTACTAAGGATTTATGAATGTGATTTGTATGCCCATGCTGAACTGTTTGCATATGTTCCATGATAGGAAAATAAACAAAGAAACCACTTTTTGTAATGTTTATTCAGTTGCTTTGACTATCTATCCCTTAAAAATATGTTTTATTTAATATAGTCTAAGGTTATAAGGCTAATTCATGCTGCATTTTATTTTTGACTCGAAAAACAAGTTAAATCACAAGTCACCACATGAATCACAGTTTAGATTACCTGACAAAACATTTCAACATTGAATATACTGCAACCGCACATATTCTGTTTTCTCCCCTCCCTATTTTGTTCTGGGATGTACTGCATGAATGTATTTGGCTTTCAAATAAATAAAGATTTCAGTAATTAGATGCTTGTCTAATGCTTCCTCCTCTCTGAACAGGAGTTAAGGGGGACCAGAGTTTGAGTCTGGAGAGTGTTGAGAGGAGTCCAGCGTTAGGGCATGTGTGAGCCAGAGAGCAGAGACAGTTCAGCATGCAGGTGTTCTGCTGCCTCTCTACATCCATCCCATAAAGGCTTTTAAGCACTTCCCAGCAACACCAGCCAGACACTGGAGCCTCGCACTCTAAAAGCTCTGATTTCACTATCTGAGACTAAGCACACTCAGAGCAGCTGGGAGATTGTGCTGTTTTTCAAATCAAACGTGATGCTCAGAAATGGTTGGGGGACAAAGATGTTTCGCAAACTGTAAAACTTCTCACTTCTTTCAAACCATTCGTTCATATGGAGATATTCACGAAATACTTTTTAAATGTGACATTGTGCACCAATACAATGGTAGCAGAAATCAGTTATTGCCAGAAGGTAAACACACTGATTTCAGTGCTTCACTGATGCCCTATACAAAAATATAATCAATAGTGTCCCAGAATATACAGCAGTTTGCCGCAAGCCATAAACCTCTTTTTTTCCCACACCCATTAGTCATGAACCAAATATTATTGATGCATCAAATCTTAGATTAAATGAATGAATGATACTATTCATCAGGTTTATGCTTTTGGTTTGTTCATAATATTATGTGTAGGCTATCAGTACAGTAGGACAGTGTAACATTTTAGATGGAAGACCAGGACGAACTTCCCAAGCCAAGTTCTTCATGTAGGTCGTTCAATGATGTAGGTCATCACCACATTGCATCTAAATAGCAAGGATTAAATTTCAGTTTGATTTTTTTTTTTAATTATTCAAAATGTAACAATTACTAAACTAAAGCACATATGATACTTGTATGTTGTGTCCTAACTGATACACTGGTGTGGAAAGAACTAAAAAAGAAGAGAAATCATATCTGTCAATAAATGTGATAACACAATTTCTGTAGCTACATGATCATCTGATGAAGACCAACACGACTTGCTGCATCTCAGTTACCTCCAATGGGTATATTTAGGTTTCCCAGAGCAGATAAAACTATTAGGAAGCTACTGCAGGCTGAGGCTGAATTGCAGGCTTCTTCATTTCCTCCTTCCTGTAAATATGGGCTACATTTAAATAACCCAGTGATTTTATTAATCAAAAAAGAGGGACGGATAAAAGCAGGACGCAGAAAATCGAAGTTTTATGTAACACCGGCAAAATCGCTAGCAGCCACAGCGGTGATGGAGGGAGTGGAAGAAACAATATTAAAACGCAAAAAATAAGAATGCATGGATATCAATAACTAACATGTCACGCTAACATCTTAAGTTATGTCAACTGTCATCAAGAGTCAATCACAGAAAAGATGAGATCGATATGAATTCACATTTGTGTCGCTTACCTCGGTTATGTATCTTTGGGTAAAACCCGAAGCCCGTCTTTGGTGCAGACTGTTCTTATCTATGGGAAATGTCCTCAGATTAATCAAAAACACACATACGCCTGTGTCTAACTGAAGAAAAACGACGGACGACTGTGTATGCGATGTAGACAGCCAAAGGACTGGACGGGGGAGACTGAAGGTAACGTTAGGCTCCGGCAGCAGCGGCAGAGGCGCCTGAAGCGATGCTGAAGAAGTTGAGCTGATGGCAGTGGTTACAGCCTAGTAAAGTGCAAGGACGCTGTTCAGCCGCTGCTGGGCCAATGTAGAGGAGGTGCTGGGGCAAATCTGTCTGGGAGGGGGGAATCGGAGGGCGGTTATATGCAGTTGAAGTCTAAATGCCTCTTCTGATGTTGGAGACAAAAGGACGCCCGATATCCCGTTGCCTATTCGCTAGAATTGTCAGTGTCGGTGTTTAGATTTTCCATACGCATTTGCTTCTAGGTACGTTTAGTCCACCATCTATGCCCTAATATGGAAAAATTGAGCTCCAATTTGAGATTAAGCGTTTTTGTTTAAGAAAACATTACATTATTTGTCTGTGCGATTTATTTATGTCCTTTTGCTTAATTAAATCACAAAGCAAGGATGCTTTTCTGAATAGCCTATATCGCACGAATCTCTTGCTTAAAAAACAAAAACAAAAAAAAGCAAGAAAAATCGGCCGGTTGTTTGTTTATTTTCTCTCCGCCAGATAAAATAGTTCCAGCCAAAACGCCGAGTTTTGCTTGTTGCCAAGCAACACGTAGTTTGAAAGGCGGGCTGGAGTGGCGTGTATTTTGACGCGGATTCACCGTCACCGAGCCTTTTCTGCTCAAAGCCTTCTGTAATCCGCTCCGGGTTTTTAATGTCCCGCGCATCGCTCATTAGCGCGAAACAGCGCTCGCTCGGTCCAAATCGTACCGGAGCGATAGGAAATGCTGACGATAAAAGACTTTCAAACAGCTTCTGGCTGTGGTCAAGAACATTGAAGGGATACAAACAGTGAACTTACTAAATATGAGCAATGTTGGAACGCCACTTATTAAACACATTTAAATTTACACTATACACTTATATAAAATATTTTTTTTTTTATAAATGAGTGTGTTGATCTAACAAACCCTGCCTTTATCCAACTAGGCTACACATCAATGAACGTGTAATAGAATGGTTTAGTGATATTCGTTGGCCAACACGAAAGTTAGCATCACCCTGGTCCCCTTGACCCAAAAAAAAAATCCACCTTATTCACCTTATACACGCGGAAGTAGCCTAAGCCTTTGGGCGAGACTTCCGGTTCATTAGCTGCTATAGGGAAATAACGAGAACAATAACAACATGCAGTAAACGTTTTTTTTTTGTTTGGACTACAAGTGTGTTCATAATAATAGATTAAAATAACAAGGTAATACACACCAATTTGCAATATCAAGCAACAAAACGAGCTGTTTTGTACAGCTAAAAATAGCTGGATGCAGATACGGATGCTCGACCGGAAGCCAGTCCCATAAAATTTACAAATGGCCGTGCCAACTTTTATGGCAAGAATAAGATCGATAGGATTTTTTCATTGGCTTTTAGGTTTTTGGACAAGTGAACACAACTTTTATGAATTTTTAAGCTGAAAAACAGTCGGCAGAAGTGAAAAAGTTAAATGCAGGCTTTAAAACTACACCACGGTCGCATGACCTCACTCACCATTGCTTATAAGGGTGATTCTTAGACTATGGGCACTTTTATGTTCTTTGGTCATATTTATAAAAATACATATAATTTTGGACAAATTCCTCTTTCTTAGTCAAACTAACAATAAAACCACCTTAAAAACTTTTTACTACCTTTCTATTATGATTTTTTCATACTTTTCAACCTCCTTATAGGTGTCAAAATCACTGTTTTCTCCTTGTCGCACACCCAGACTTTTAAACTTCAACAATGAAAATACAGTTTAAAAATATGACTTATCTGGTAACTATTAATGTACCTGAATTAAGCACTAGTAAAATAATTCAAATACATAATAGTATTTAATGTGAGACCACGCTCAATATTACTTTCTATACAAAATATAGCTGTCGCACAGTATTGGTGTCATTTCCACCACAACACTGTAATGTCCCTTTAAAAAGTTTGTGTGAAAGCGCAACGAGGCAGTGAAAACTGAGATGAGTTTTCATGTTTGGTCTGATGATATTTAATGTCCCCAACAACCTTTGTATTCCCATTTAGCCACAGTGACTGCTTTTTTCAAGACAAGCAAAAAAAAAAAAACCACACACATATAGGTGTATTAGTGATATATACAATATGTAGTAGAATAAAACGTGAAAATTACTTGATCTTGTGTAAACCAGAGATCTAATTTCAGACATTTAACCAAAAACCCATTCACTTAAGTATAATGAAACCAGAAGTGGGTTTCTAAGTTTTGGCCTACAAAAATATGTCATCCCTACAGCACTCTATGAGTATTTGTATTGTAGAGCTGGTGGACGAATTTTGCGGTAAATTGTATATAGGCCTACGTCATTTGCCCACGTGTCTCACCTCATATTTGTACACGCAAGAAAAGTATGGCTCTGGTTGTGAACAGCGTGACGCTGAAGATTTGTTGTCACAGCAAATGAGAAAAATTGGCCATGGAACATTACAAAATGGCAAACCTCTAGGGAATCACCAGTTTAAAAAACAAAACAAGAAAATGGTATATATTTGACCATCCTTCTCTGATAAGATGTCCTGTATCCATTTGTACACTGGTGCCTCCAACCTCATTTATCCATGCACAGCAGAGCCACAACTAAAACAATGTTCTTTTGTAAAACACTGGCAGTTTTATATTATATTTATATAACTGCTAGAGGGCCAAAAGTTACAGTGTAAACGATTGAGACTATGTGTTGTTTACTACTGTTCATTTATGCAAAACAGAAACATTTAACATATTTGAGCTATAGTTAGTTTGAATTATATTGCAAATGCTTTTGCACACAATTTGACATAAACCTGAAAGCACTGACAATAGTATTCCATCAAAGGTGGAAGGGCTGTAAACTGCTCACAGGGAGATTTAAAAGTTTGCCTGTTGGCTGATACAAGGGCATCTGTCATCTGCTCATCTCAGAGCAGCACTCATGTCAGTCTTCTGTGATATCACACCCAAGAGCAACATCAGGAGGTGTAAGATGAGGAGAGGTGCCTGCGGGACAGCAGGAGCAGCAGATCAGATGAGCCCCCTTTTGTTAGACCACTGTCACCATGCAATGCATTTTTGGCTAATGCTAAAAGAAACAAGGGATGTCTTGGTGAAAGACAGGCAAAAACATTGGCAACCAATGGCTGTTTCATAAAAACGTGGCAAGAAAAAAAAAACTTTCACCACAGAATCCATCTAAAATGAAAACTGCTTATATCATTAACTAAACAAAATCTGGTCGATAATGTGAATATGGAGAACAAAGTGAAACCAAAGTGAACCACGGCTAAAATACTGTAGACAAAACGTGATATAAATATAATTTAAAGTAGTAATACCTATGCTAAATATAGGCTTGATAAGATTAATGGTGTACCAGATTGTACATACGCACAATTCTAGAGGGATTAAACCATATTCTGAGAGTTGATTGCAAACCTCCAGTATAATATCTGTATCAGATCACAGTACTAGAACACCAAACCTATTATCAAATGTCATGACCAAACTATGAGAAGTGATTCTTATCCAAACTGACTGCTTTTTAAGTGTATTCAATACATTTAATCAGTATTATTAACATTGCTGCATTTAGACAATGCATTAACCAGTTTGAATTTGTGTTTCACAAACAGAAACAGACTAATAGCCACTGATCAGTTCTCCCTTCAGCCATTTACTTCCTAACTTTAGCACATCCTATTTTTATTCCATCCATCATTTATTACATGATGGGCATACAGGAAGAATGGAGCACTGCTCTGAATACGCTTAATGGATCCTGAATGAAGAGCTTCCTGCAATGGTTTGCCGATGGGGGTCAAGCTTTTGATGGGTAGCCGCTGGCTATTCTTTGGCTTAACAGTGCAAAGAGTAACTTAAGTGGCAGGTAGGACAGCAGTTCATAGAAGCAGTGATGCTTCATCAAAGAGAATTTACACAGATACCCTTTAATAGCCTGGGACCGCATTCTGAAGATAAAGACACGTCCCATGTGTCCTAAATTGATGGGTGTCCATGAGAAACTGCCATTAGTGCTTTAACACAAATGCAAGGGGCCGTAAGCTACTCTAATGGAGGTTGCAGCTGAAAGGAATCAAGACCGTAGCAGTCCAAGACATGTTATATTCACAACATTTCTGCATTTATTTTGGCCTTAAGTGGTTTACCTGTGTCTCTGAGAGCAGCATAATGGAGCATCTCCAGCCAGGTGAATGCAGGTCAAATCATTCATCTCTGCTCAAATGTGCATGACAATAACAATGCCAAAATATCATTATAATTTTATACATTTCAATGGATACAATTATAGGTATTATAACATTACTATACTTTTCCCAAAATACTACAATACAACAGGTGACAGAAATCAGAATACAGAGTTTACCGCACATGAAGAAATATTTCCAAAATATTTCACTGAAATATCTGTAAATGATAAAAACTACAAGGCAGAATTTAAAGGAATAATTTGCTGAAAATTCAAGATGTAGATGAGTTTGTTTCTTCATTACATCATTTGCTCACCAATGGATCCTCTGCAGTGAATGGGTGCCATCAGAATGAGAGTCCAAAGCTGATAAAAACACCAAATATCCACAACATGACCCCAGTCCATCAACTAACATCTTGTGAAAAACTGTGTGTTTGTAAGAAACAAATCCAGCATTAACTTTAAACCATCATTTCTGGCCAAAACACAAGTTTATAATCCATAATTAAGCAAAAGTCAATCCCCTGTTGTTCTCTCACATCAAAACCCACTGAACTGTTTTTGCTTGTAAACAGTGCTTGATCTGTTTCATACCTATTTCAATTAAATGAAATTCAAGTTTATTTGTATAACGCTTTTCATGATGCAAATCGTTGCAAAGCAGCTTTACAGAAAATTAAAGTTTTAGATAGCTTGAGATAGTCACCACTGATAAGCTATTACTTAGCAGTATCAGTGGTGACTATCAAAAGTTGATGTCCATATGGCAGAAATGTACAGTAAAAATCAAGTAGTTAGTTAATGTCATGTATTGCAAAATTTGGTAGTTTTGTATGTTGTCTGAGGGTTGGCATCATCTCTTCTCAGGTGTTCGGTCATCAGGTCTTTGTAAGGGCTGGATCCAAGGTAAGTGAGAAAAATGTTCCATCTAAGCAAAAAATGATGTGCTCAACCCAAGCAAAAGAATGAAATGTGCGTTTGATCAGATGTAACTGGAGTACAAGGTTATGAGATATGTTATGTGAATGCTTAGCTAAAGAGATGTGTCTTTAATCTAGATTTAAACAGAGAGAGTGTATCTGAACCCCGAACGTTATCAGGAAGGCTATTCCAGAGTTTGGGAGCCAAATGCGAAAAAGCTCTACCTCCTTTAGTGGACTTTGCTATAAATCATATTCTGAGTTGCATTATTTTTATTCATTTTGAGGAAAACTGAATCAGTGTTTTTGTTTTTTGTGAGTGAGATGAATTAATGCATATTCATATTTACTTTAGAACTACAGTAACATCTTCTGATTTCTCTCAACATGGGGTCAAGAGAGCTGTCAGTCAATAAACTGGAAAAAAGGTAACTTGCATTACTTATTTGAAAAAGTAACTCAGATATTCTCTTGTAAATTAAAAAGTAATGCATTACTTTACTAGTTACTTGAAAAAAGTAATCTGATTACGTAACTCGCATTACTTGTAATGCGTTAACCCCAACACTGGTTAGGTACGCAGGAGCTAACCCATTAAGGGCCTTATAGGTGAGTAATAATATTTTGTAACTGATACGGAACTTAATAGGTAGCCAGTGCAGAGACTGTAAAATTGGGGTAATATGATCATATTTTCTTGACCTGGTAAGGACTGTAGCCGCTGCATTTTGGACTACCTGTAGCTTGTTTATTGAAGATGCAGGACAACCAGCTATCAGTGCATTACAATAGTCCAGTCTCGAGGTCATGAATGCATGAACTAGCTTTTCTGCATCAGAAACAGGTAACATGTTTTGTAGCTTGGCAATGTTTCTAAGATGGAAGAATGCTGTTTTTGTAACATGGGAAATATGATTTTCAAAAGACAAGTTGCTGTCTTAATATAACACCCAGATTTTTGACTGTAGAGGAAGTAACAGTACATCAGTCTTTTTCACTGGAGAAAGCAATATGGATAGAAGACTTGTACTTTAGCTGGAATCAACAGTTTTAAGTAAATAGCATCTTGATGGAGTTGTTTCTTGCATACACACATCTTTTTGCTTGACAAGATGTTAATCGATGGTCTGGAGTCGTGTGGATTACTTGTGGATTATTGTGATGCTTTTATCAACAGTTTGGTCTCTCATTCTGATGGCACTCATTCACTACGGAGGATCCACTGGTGAGCAAGTTATGTAATGAAAAACTCATCTACATCTTGGATAGCCTAAGTATTTTTTTTTTTTGGGGGGGG